TCTTTCAGTCCAGCCGCTGATATTATTTATCGATATCAGCTGCTATTCCATGCATTTCTTCCATGATGGCTCCCCTTCTTACTCCTGTCTTTCCTCTGGTTTCTGCTGCCTGAAGTATTCACGAAGCACACAATCACTTATGGCCATCTTCCTGATGTACACATGGACCTTTATTGTTTTATGTTGGATAGTGGTTGTGACACTCACCAGTCTTTGGCCTCCTTCCTTCCGCTACAGTCTCAGGATGCTGGACTTGGAATAAAACCCTCCATGCATGGTCAGGTGCTTCCTTGTCTTGATGTCATTGGTCCATCTCCTCCTTTGGCCACCCTTTCATCCCAGAGGGTATCTAACCACCAGCAGGGCATAGGTGCTAATTGTCCTGATCTTGTTCTTCCCATTCAACAGACTCTTCAGGCATTCCCTTACACCCTGTTGGCATTTGGTGGTTGCAGCTTTCCCAGCGGCCTCTTCCTGATTACCATTTGCCTGTGGGATTCCAGGATACTTAGCTATCCTCAATCTCTGCAATGTTGCTTTCTGGTAGTACAATCCTCTCAGCTCTATGAGAAGAGTGTTAATCACAGGGAGTAGGGCTCAATGTAAAAATGTAGTTTCCTGTTTTGGTTTAGGAAGCATTGTTTTATTTAAAAATGACTAAGTGGCTCTCAAATACAGTCCAGAATTATCTAGATCCATGCAAGTGTTCCACCTACTGTCATTTCCACCAAGAGTAACACGTTGGGATGCACTGAGAGATATAACCTAACTTTAGTTAGCAGTTCATGCATCTGAAAGAATGCACATCGAAGACACTCCTGCAGCAGCCTCGCTAGCTTGGCTAATTTTCTATCAATTTCTTGATTCCCATCAGGGGTCGGCTACGTTTTTTTGTGGTTCTGTTAGTAACACAAGAATTGTTGGATATGATTCACAGGCGAGGGTGCATATTAGAAAGGAGGAATAGAAAGCTAGCATGTGAATGAGGGTGAAGTGAGTCACCGGGAGAATTTAAAGTTGATTTACTGATCGTTTCATGGCCGTCGCATTCTGACGGCCCAATAACATGCACCTGCAGCCTGCATTTCCACCTCGGCACAATCCTTTACAACTCTCATTAAACCCAACTCAAACATAACTGTAACACAACAAAGAGAAGACATAGAAAGAATATCATAACGTCTCTCCTTTGTTGTTTTCTTGGAAGTGTGTTTCAGATGACGCTGTGGTTTTTTTTACCATCATTGATTGTTGTGAAGTGCAAAAAGGTGCTAGCAGGGGATTTACAGTATGCCGTTTGGGACACTCATTTGACGAATGTCTGCCTTAAAGCAATGGTTTATTTATTCATGCAGCTAATCTTTAAGGAAAATGTGCTTGTTATAAACTGAATGTATATTAATCAAGTAATTTTCATTTAACCATATTCCATTAAATTCAGCATTTTACATTGTACTCATGTAACAAACGTACAGGAGAAAATTTATTGTAATCAAACTAGTTAAAGTCAGTATTTTGTTTCACATAACCAGGCTTGAATGGAAAACTTGAGTATAAGTGATTTTTATAAGACAACTGCACAGATATATCTGATAAAAATGTTGCTTCCTTTTTATTTTTGCATGGTTTTAGTTATTTCACTGCAATGTACATGTCATTGTTGGATAGGTCCTTTGGCATGTTTATAAAGGGTGACGGGTCAAGTCAGCTTTATTTGTATAGCTCAATATGTCAGATCACAGGCTTGCCTCAAGGGGCTGCATAGCCTGAACAGTACGAAACACCCTCTGTCCTATGACTGATCCGGATGAAGAAAAATAGTTCTCTCATAATCTGTTCTGCCTAAGAAGGTCTGGAGAATTTCTTCTAGATGAGTGCCTAAATGCAGTTTGTCTTGCTCCATAGCATTCTTGACACTATGCGGTTGTTCAGTCTGACGTCACTAGCCGTGTCTGGGCCTAAACTCCGCTGCAGGTCCATATATCAAACGATCACTGTGGCATTACTGAGAGTTGAAAAACTGTCTAAAGTCTTTCATCTTTAATAAAATGATCAGCGTTCTGCTCTACCAGGTGTAACAATTGAGTTTAACATCCAGGCATCCATGAAAACGGAATTTATGACATTTAACGGAGTTAGAAGTTAGCAGGAAGTTAGCTCGCTAGCTTCTATCTAAATACAATATAGCATGTCCTGACTGCGGGGTTTTGGAAACAAATTAAAACGTACAGCTCTGTTATCACTTCCAGCATAAATGAAGACAGAAAACTAAACAGCAGTGACGTTTGTAGGGTTACTGAAGTTGGGCTAGCTGGTATATAATGATGTGCTACGTGACCGCTAGCGACACAGCTATGTTAGCATAATATAAACAAGCTAACTTTTTTTTCCACTCGATAAAAGTTACCGTGAGTGTTCTCGGTGGTCAGGAACAAATGTAATCGCATGGCAGGATGCTGTAAAAGGACCAAACTTCAGCCAGGAGAACAACTGAGATAATCCATCCACAATACGAGGTTAGTCATTCATATACTGCTGCATGGGCTGGGCTGTAGTTACATCCTAAGGTTTTAAAAACTGAGCTTAAATAAATGATTAGCGGTAATAAAAGCCGAGGGAGGTCAACAGTGATCACTGACTGTTTTAGGAGCTTTTTGAGATCAAATAGAAGAAAATACAAAACATTAAACATGCTAACAACACAAAAGCCATATTAAACGCAGACTACTTTAGGCCCGGAAGTAGGATTCGTCGCGTCATCACTGAACAACCGGATGAAGCAAGAACAGTCTGAAACAGTCTGCTGAAGGGTTTAAGAAGCCTGCAAGAGCACTGAAATTGGTAGCATTTGATGCAGAATCTAAGCCCTCTGCTGTTTACAGGTTACTGCACCATAAATGTGATCCCGTATATCAGCGGTCCCCGACCTTTTTTGTGCCACAGACCGGTTTAATGTCAGACAATATTTCACGGACCGGCCTTTAAGATGTCGCAGATAAATAAAACACAAAAAAAATGATACGACCAAGACAAAAACTGTGGTATATTGTACATGTAATAATAAACACGAATCCATGGTGTAATTGTGTAACTTTATTAGCAGCGTCCTCCTGAAATGCGCCAACAACATTGAGAGTAACGTCCTCCTCTCTGCCCCTTAATACTCTCTGGTCGCTATGGTAACACGTAAATATTTATTTCAAAATAAGACACACAACTACAACACGGGATGAAAACCCTGAAAACCATAAATTTCACACCTGAGCCTCAACTCTTGCGGCCCGGTACCAAATGACTCACGGCCCGGTACCAGTCCGGGGCCTGGGGACCGCTGCTGTATATGACATCAAGGTATATAAACCGTGGTGGATTTCATATTAAACATGACCATTAAATCAAGGGATCATTGCAGGTACAAATGAGCCAAAAGCTCAGCCCACATCCCCAATACGGTCACCTCAGGCATACAACTCTGGCTGCGAGCACAGAAGCTCCACCCACTATTCAAATTAAAATAAATGTTTTGGTTGCAAGGGACAGCCAATCAGAAGAGAGATAGCTTACAGGGAATGGAACTAAAACTGCATGGTCTCTGAGGGACACCAAGACCTATTGGAAGATATAAGGGGATTATTTCGGACAACTAATCATGCAAAGCTACTCTATTACAGACAAAGATGAAGATGTATAGAGCTGGAGGTTAAAATGTAGCAACTCTGGATTCTTTTCCCTTCAACTTCAGAACAATAACCCATAATGACAAACTAAAACCATGTTTGTAGAGTTTTACAAATCATATCAGGATGCAAACAGGTACCAGACCTCTCTGTAGACCTCTGGTATTAAACTGTGGTGAGACATAGAGCATAAAATCACTTTTAAAGTTTTATGTGTTCCCAGGAGAACCCTGACTTTTGATTGAAGTGAAATTTTATCAGTTTTATCTATTTAACTTTCAATTTTTAACACATTAAGTTGTCATTACTCTAAAGCACCTTTTACACACTGACGCTAAAACATACTTAAAGATCAAACATGTAATAACAGGTCTATAAAATCAAATGAAAGAATTACCATTAAGTTTATGAAAACGATGAGAAGCATTTTTGAAACAGACTTCACTTCTGTCACATTATACTGAGCCAGAATCCCAGATCAGCCACGGCTTCATTTCTCTTTGAAATACTCGCAGAAGAAACAGCCACAAACCAACCAAGGACGACTGAAAATAAACTGCACGATGAGTTTAGCGTTAACCTTCAGACTGCAATATGATCCATATGTGAAACACGGGGAAAAACAACAACATCATTGCACTGCATTTCCACTAGATTGCGTTAAAGTGATGTAAGTCGTCTCCACAGCCTGTTTAATGACGGCCATATCAACCCCTGACTTTTTTTTTGGCCCTCCTTTCCTCCACCTGTCTGTGTGAGCTGCCACTCACTTTGATTTCTCGCCAGTTGTAGCCTGCAGACAACAAATCACCTGATTTTTCACACTGAGAATCCCTTTTTTATGTCTCCCCAGCCTTTTGTCAAAGAAACAAAAGTCTGTCTCTCCAAATTGTTCCGTTACATAACACACCAGATTGCATGGAAGTGGGCCACAGTTCTGTTTGCAGTTTTGTTTTACCATCGTCTGGTGGATTTCAAGTGGCGGCTCCCCAATGAGAGCCGACGGGCCCGTAGCCGCGTACTGGGCGCACGCGATACTTTCAATGACAAAATGGGAGCAAAGAGGTGAAAGTGCTTAGATGTAATACCTAATATCATGCCTTTAATACTCTCACACGCATAAATAAACACGACATTCTGAGCTGAGTGGTATATGGGCTAATCCCCCAGCTTTTAATACTGTAAAGAGAGAAGTAAAAGCACTATGATAATGCTGCTTCGGGATGCTGTTAAGCAGGAGAAAGGAGGGGGGAAGCTGGCCTGGGATGGGTACAGATGGGATGGAGACATGATATATGGAAGAAGAAAAGGAGGGTAACTCACCCATCTGTATCCTGGAAGTTGACATTCACTTTCTTTGCAGACCCGAGGAGCTCTGAAAGACAAAAAGAGGGAGCATGAGTGGATTTTTGCAGCCCTCAAATATGATAGCAAAAGCCCATCAGTACCTTGTTATGAGCAATATTTAACGTTTATGATTGCAACAATATTGTGCTCTAGAGGAACGGTTCATTCATTCCTGAAGCCAGAAACAGCATTTTCCACTTTTCCCCTCACTCATTTCCACCAAACGGAAGCAAAGATCTCATTATGAGGCAAACTGCCATCACATTTCCTCACCTGCTGTTTGCATGAAAGAGTGCCATTACTTCGAGTCCAGCCCCCCATGGTGACAGCACCCTACGTGTCTGTCATTCTAAATATTTACACCATTCAGAGCATGCTCGCTCATGTGTGTGAATTTAGGTAATGTGACAAACAGTAAAAACTTCTATGATTTACTCATGAAAGTGGCCACTTTCTCATTACTTTCATATATTGTTTTAGTAAGTATCCAAAACATACAAGTTTCATTTACATAATTTTTCAAGGGATCTTATATGTGTTTTTACTCTTGTATGCTTTTCATACAAGTTTCACACAAGACAGATACAAACTTTATAAGATTTATATATATCTTTTCCATATGGGTCTGCAGACATCCTTCACATGTAACTGTTTATCATGTTTCCAGAGGGTGGAGGACATGTTGGAACCACGGGACTACAGAATCTAGAGAAGCAGCATAAAAACAACGTCTTAAATGTATAAGACGTCCACGACAACCCCTCCAGTGGACCAAGATTGGACGCCCAAAAATGACATATAAAAGACGTCACTCCGAAGTCACAACGGGTAGCCAATGAGAAGAAAGATGCCTTTAAGAGAGGACAGCCTTAAAAAGCCAAAACTGCTTGTTTCAGACAGAGGATGAACTATAAAGGCTCCCAGGTCCCACTATAAAACAAATAAGGATTATTTTAAATGGTGACTCATGCAAAGCTACTCTAATAGAGTCCAAAAATAAAAATGAGAAGTTGGAAATCAGTAGAACTGGATGTTATGTTCAGCATGAGATGCAGGTTCTTGGCTTCTGACTTTTTTTACATTTCAACACAGCACATTTGAATCCACACGGTGTAGCTGCAATAAGGACTGTGCATTAAATCTGTGCAGGAGATAACCAAGCCCGACTAGGAAAAGTGTGCAGCATAGACTGGAATGTCAGATCTCTCCTGCTCATGGCATATAAAGTACAGATAATACTGAGGATATGAACTATACAGCATGAAACCAGGCTCGGTTATGAGTTATTATAATTATGTGCAGGGTTTTACTATAAAAGTACAAACTGAAGCTATGATGCTATGCTAGAAATCTTTCTATTGAAAATCGAGCGGTTTCAAATCTACACTGTTTGTCTTTGCTGCCCCAGACTGACAAAGAGAAAGCTGAAATAAAATAATAAAATCACGTTTTAATAGTTTTGCCTCCCTAATGAGCGGAACGATCCTCATGTTGCAGAGACAATGAGGGAGTACCTTAAACTTGCATTATTTTTAAGGGCCAGCAGGGGGCGACTCCTTGGCTGGCAAAAAGTCTTGATATGGTGTGAACTTTGTGGGCCCATTCACTGGTTTCAAGCCACACTGAACAAACCACTGAGTTCATTTTGTGCATTTTTGTCACAATCACAGTCAATCACAGGGGATAAATCAGGAAATGCTTAGAGGCTTAAAACCTGACAGTCACAAGTTGCTAGCCGAGGAACACAGTTCCTCTCAGCCGGTTAGTCCATCGCACACTCATCACATCTGGTTTCAAAACACACAACATGAGTCTTCCCAACAGGAGAATTCAAACCAACTATTGTGGCGATGGCACTGTGGAACGTCCAGATTTAGGTCAAGTTCATTGTAAACACACACAGATACACAATTACTGGCTTGAAATAACAGATGCAGATCCATGCATGCTGTGGCGGGGTGTAGCTCAGCTGCAGGGGTGCAGCACATGCAGGCACACACATGCACATCCACACGCATGCATACAAGTTTAATGCTGCACTAAATCTACAAGCACAACTGCTACTTTCAACCTCATTATTTTTCATTTTCTGCCCTTTGTTTTTATGTCTCTTATTAGCTGATGGTGCAGAACTGAGGCACAGCAAGGATGAGCTTGCACGCTCCCTTCTTTCTCTCTCACATTTTTGCTCTTTCCACAAACACACACGCACACCCCCTCTAGGGTGCAGGAAACAGGACAGTCCCTCTATTGTAGGGGAGACAGCTCCCAGCACCACTGGGAGAGGAACATTGATTTCCTAACAGGCTATTTCTGGCCACTTAAATGCAGGAATTCACTTTTTTTTTTTTAAATACAGGAGCTTTCAAAGGCACAATGTACATCCTGTGTGTGTGTGTGTGTGTGTGTGTGTGTGTGTGTGTGTGTGTGTGTGGACAATAAAACCTGATATATTTCCGCTAACTTACATAAATACTAAAGTATGGTGAAGTTCAAAAAGTTCAAAGAGGCCAGAGAAAACGCATAAAGCTCACTTTTTAAAATTTTCCTGATAAACACTGAACAATCACCGGCTTCTCCCCATAAAAGAACAAAGTCTTTGAGACAGACCAAAGTTATAGGAAAACGCCATCTGGATATATCTTGACGCGCGCTCAGTCATCCAGGTCAGGAAAGTTATTCTGTTCATCCGTTTTACATTTTTTTAAAACTTTAGTCCAGATGAACAGAATCAACTTTTTGGGGGCCTTCTATATACTGCTCTTTCTTATTAGCTGGACACCCGTTGCCTCAAGCTCTAGTTTCTTTATTACAGCTAGCTTGTCGATTAAGCTAACGTTAGCTCCATAAGCTGTTTAAAAACACAAAATCGGATTTCTTACTTGATGACCGAACAACAATGTGCTGAAAAAGCCAGTTGTGAGCATCTTCAGTTGTTGACATTTACATCAACTAGACTCAGGAATGTTGAGGTTACTATCTACACAAGTAGACTTAAAAAAAATTAATTTAAATGGTGAACAAGCCCAAGTGCTCCAAAAGAAAAGACTAGGGATGGGTATCGTTTAGGTTTTATCCGATACCGGTGCCAAATCGGTACTTTTGAAACGGTACCGGTGCTCAAACGGTGCTCAAACTGGTGCTTAAAGAATGGAGAACACAAAATTGGTCCAAAAACCTCTCATGTTCAGCTGTTTTTTTGTAAAAAGATAACAATGTTAGCCTTTCCTGCAGCTATGGGGCATATATGGTATCACTCTTGGCTGGAAGCAGTGCTTAAACAATGGGAAAAACATAAACTTTGTCCAAAACCTCTCATGTTTAGCTGTTTTCCACTTTTTCTTTGGTCATTTTAGCCCTTTTGGCCAGGGTGAAGGGAGCATCTGCCATCAAACAAGAAGACAGCCGCATGTAGCTATGATGATGTTTGCTAGTTCACCTTACATGCATTAATGTAATAACGTGGTTAGCCTACTCAACGTAAATTACACACGAACAACATTAAGCTACTCACGCAGAGAAGAACGGCTGCTGCTGCATCATCATCCTCATCATTTCTGCTACACTGGCAGGGCGAGGGCCCAGGACTCTCCTCTTCGGGTTTTTGGGGGATGTTGCTAACTCCGGGTCTGATAACAGGCACCACACCCGCAGTAGATGCGCTCGGTGTGAGGTCTGGCAGCAAGCTATCAAATACGGTGCATTTCTGGGCTTTTAAAAAAAACGCTATGCGTCGCCAGGTGTTTCATCGGATTCGAGGTGTTACCTCCTTTGACAGTATCACAGTATCAGCTTAAAGCACTTGTTGCTGCTGAGTTTGCATCTTTTGCTGTGAAGTACAGCCAGACTTTTGACCGCTTCGCCTTGGACATTTTTAATCTGTAGCTCTGCTCTAAAAGAACGTACGTACCTGGACCCGCCTACTATCCTCGGAAACGTAAAATGATTGGCTAGAAGTGTATCACAGCTCAGGAAAAAAAGCACCGAAATAAAGCACCGAAATGTGCGCTGCTTTTCGGTCTGGTTACTACCGTTTATGTCAGAACCAGTGCCATCATGGCACCGGACACCGGTACCCATCCCTAGAAAAGACCATGCAATGCTTTTAAAGGGTAAAGGTTCACCTATGAGGTCCCATCAAACAATGAAACCCCGAATACAGGACTGGAAATGATCAGAACACATCTGCTGTCAGTTTATAGTATATTCGTGATTCTATCCATGTTTAACAAAAACAAGTAACTACAGGATTTTAAGGTACAATAGGTAACCAAATTTGCCACATTTTTCACTGGATAAAGAGGAAGACTATGAAAAGGAAACACACAAAAAGCAACTCTTGGATTTGTTACCAGGCATGTCATACGAGAATGTCATAGCTAGATGAACATGCTAGCATGCTAGGGGTTTTGGAAAGATAACAAAAAAAGGAACCACCAAACACTTAACGCTTGTACTGCCACATGTCTACTGCTTTAACTCATGGATCACGATTTACAGGACTATTAACCAAAAATAGAAGAAATCAAAAGAGCAGTTTTTCTTCAACATGCATGCAAAAAAAGAAAAAAGAATAAATGTGTTTTTCCATTTACATCTAAACAAATTGGTTGGCCTGCCTCCTTGCTAGTATGTTGAGCATCAGCAGCAAAATTGTGAGTGAACTGAGGCCTTTTGTGTCCAGAATTTGGGCTGAAAATTTGTCATAATGAATATTGGGGGGAAAAAGCTATCTGAAAACAACATTAAGGATCTCCAACAGCATTCAGGAAAGTGACAATGAAAAATAAGTCGGTTCAGCAGAGTCTACACTCATAGCGACACATGATGAGGCATTAATAATTCAGCATTTTTACTGTCAGACTACATAAAGGGCTACTACAGTCAGGACTACTGTAGTCAAAACAGTTCTGGGAAAGGAGGAGCAACATCCGAGCACAAAACAGAGCAGGTATCAAGGACAAACGATATGACTAAGACAAAAACTGCATGAAAGTTGTCAACCCACCTCCACCTGGAGGTGGGTTG